TTTCTCTTAATGCAGAAGACCCATTTGCATCCCACCATGTTCACTCCTTCAGGCTTTTCAACTATAGACCATGTACTGGCATCTTTCAGCACAGTAAGTTCCTTGTGCACAGCATCATCCCATTTTGGCCAGTCAATTCTCATGTGAGCTTGTTCCAGCATTGTAGGGTCAGTTGCCTCTACTTCAGCAACTCCGGCTACCATTGCATAGATGTCCTCATCATATTCATCCACTTCCCCACATTCGTTGGCTACTCCTAACTCGGCGGTGTAGAGATACAATGATTGCTGGGCACTACACGAAGTAAGTAGCCAGCAATATAAAAATGTTGTGGTCGTGCACAGCCTAGTCTGCTTTACTTGCAAGACAAGTGTGTTCGACCCAAGGGGTTTGCTGTATGGTATTAGAATAATCAGTTATAACAAAAGGAAGATAGTCCGAAGTGTGGGAAACAAAGTCCGAAGGTATAATTACAAGTCCAATGTCAAAAATGTCGGGTCCGACATTTTCAGGTTTCGGGTTAGTGGGTTTGCCTCGGGTTGTGTCGGGTTAGCATCGGGTTAGCATCGGGTTAGTGTCGGGAATATAGCAAATGTCAGGGATAGCGAATGGCGGGTTACTGTCAGATGCTTCAGATAAAGAACGGATGATATTGCGGAATCCAACTAAGAACTATGAATATCGGATGACCTCCTCCTACTCGGAGGTAGAAAGGTCCAGTAAATAGGTAGGAGGTATGCGAAATATATAGTATCTATGTAGAATTTCGGAGTGCTATAGGCGAAAGTAGTAGCGCTGATTTTCGGGTCCGATGTCCTATGTAATAAGACACAATGTACTGTGGACATGTAATAACGTGTTCTACAATGTTAGCGACATGAAAACAAGTAACTGTGCACCTAGTGGGGATAGATATGACAGGACAAGACATAGGGAGGACAAATGTGCGGGAAAATATCGGGTCCGATGTGCAGGAAACATCAGGTCCGTCGGATTAGTGTTGGGTTTAGTGGATAAACATCGGATTGAGCGGATGAGTGTCGGATAACATCAGGAAGTGATTTAGATGTTTGACATGTATCAGGAAATAGCTGGATATGAGCCTAGCGTGAGCTCGAGTGCTACAGCAGCTAAATTGCTGTACTCCCCCACAGGTCACATACCTTGAGGTAAGTTTGTGTTCTGTCCGTCAGTGGTGCCAGTGCCATCTCTCAAGCTTTTGATATATGCTGATTCCACTCCAACTCTTGCAGAACGATGTGGTTGGGGAGGTTCTTCAAAGTGGGGACCTAGATGGTCTGGAGGAGGGATAGTTTGTGATGAGGCTGGACTGTTGGTTTGACTGGTGAGTGTTGAATGCTTTGTGCCATGCTGCTGACTGGTGCTTTGATAGTTGAACTGATATCATCGATTCATGCTGTGTGGTGTCCCCTGTCCTCAGCTCCTTCTAGAGGTACATCCACCTCTACTGTGTTGAATGTGACACTTCTTTCGACAGTGACATGCCTGCTATTGGGTAGGTACACTCAGTGCCCATTACTCTCTAGGTCAAAGCCCATCCAGCAGCCCTCTATAGCCCACATGTCCAGTTTCGACCTGGCCGTAGTGTGAACCTTCACTTGACACCCCCATACCAGTACATTACTTAAGTCAGGTTTCCTTTTGAATAACGTCTCATACGGCATCTTGTTTTCCAGTGCGTGGATCGAGGTACGGTTCTTCAACCAGGTGACATGCATCACAGCTTCTCCCCACAGGTACTTTGGCAACTTGCTTGCATGCAGTAATGTGCACGCCCTTTCAACAATAGTTCTGTTCAAGCACTCGGCAACCCCATTATGTTCCAGCATGTCATGTATGGTAAGCTTTTGTTCTGTTTCTTTACTCTTCAAGTGATGTGTAAATTCTTCGCTAGTGAACTCTCCCTGCGATTTGAGCGGAGATGTTTAACCTTTGCATTGAGTTGGGTGTTAGCCCAGGCTTCAAACTTAGTATAAGCATCAAAGGTCTGGTCCTTTGACTTCAGAAGGTAAAGGTGTGTGAAATGCATGTAGTCATCTGTAAAGGACACAAAGTACTCCTTCTGACCGGGAGTTCAAACAGGTGAAGGGCCCCAGAGGTTGCTGTGGACCTTGTTGCCAAAGTTTTCATGTCTTGGCGGGTCTTGGACCTTTCTGATGGGCTTGTGCATTGCCTTGGCATATTTGCAGGACTCGCAACTGTCCATCGTCTTTTTTGCCACATCAAGATTTATTCCAGTAATCACACCGTCATGGATCATTTGTGTGATGGTACTTGGTGCCATGTGCCCTAGTCTGGCATGGACTTCCCACATGGTGAGTACTTCTTTTACAGCTGCTGCTCTGGTGTATGGTCTCTTTGACCCTTTTACACTATATAAGCCCTTATTCACCAGAATCTCTCCCAACAGCTTCTTTTTATCATTGAATATCTTGCAGGAGCTCTCATGGAATAATGCGCCATATCCAGCTGCAGTAAGTCAGCTGATTTAAAAAAAAAAAAATCCAATCATTGTCCAGTTGGGGTATTGTACCCTATGTAGGACATTTCTATCTAAGAAAGGGGGACACCTGTGTCCCCGCCGTGTCTCCTACTCTGCAAATGCCCTGGGGGAGGGTTGACCTCCCCCAGTCCACCATTCCTGCTGGCTGTTTTAGATGCACGAGTCTGCTACTCCACGGGGCCGTATTGATACATTTCGTGTGTGTGTGCCTGTCTTAGGTTGGGAAATATACATGTACTCAGATCACCGAAGCGAAGTTGGCTAATTGACACAAGAGTCATGCTCATCTTAGGTGTGTATAGGACATCTTTCAGCAATATACATGTACTGGAGTTTCTGTTTGGCAACAGAATCATAATGTTGCCCTTGCCGATTGCTTGAAAGGTATGTTTGTCAGTGGTTGTTATTGGCTTTGGGACTATGTTGACGAAGTCTTGTAACAAGTCACAGTATAATGACATATGTTGTGATGCACCAGAGTCAAACAGCTCAATTCACTGTTCTTGGCTATGGCTCAAGCTTGTTAGCATCAAGTATGTGAGTGAGGTTTGTTTGTCTGTTCCTGCAGTTTCATGTGCTGTCTTACTAGGATGTGATTGGCAATAAAATTACCAGTTCTCACTATCCTCCATGGTCAACAGTTGATAATGTAGTCATTCATGGGAGGAGGCATAAATAGCTGGTCTTTCTAAACAAACTTCTAATGACTTGAGGTGGGTTGAGGCAGTGACCGTTAACTGGCTTGATGCAGTGCTTAGGTACTTGAAGGTTGATAGTTTGTTAACTGGCTTGATGCAGTACCACAATGCTACTAGAAGAGGATTGCAAAGGTGTGCAATATGAAGATGGATATATGAATCACAACAGTATACAATGAATCAGAGTAATATCTTGTAAAACACTCCCTATTCTCAAAATTAGAGGAGATCAAACTAAGCCTCTAACACAATCGAATCAACCAAAATATGTGGTTTCAAAACTAACTTCTCTGCTGCTTAGGCACTCACAATAAGTATGACGCAGAATCAGAACAGAGTGCACCTTCTTGATGTAGTCTTAAAGCAGCCAAGCTTCCTAATCGTTAAAAATATGTAAATTCTCCCAACAGAAAAGGTATCCTGTGTTGTAAAGAGAATGTGACGAAACTACAACTAGATGACTGATAACCGTGTACCAGCTAGTGTAATTCAAGGATTGGCTCAAGGTAGGCCTCAGAAGATCAGTATGTTGTGGGAAATGATGACAAAAGAATGGAGGGAATAAACTAATATTCACTCAGATGTTCACACAAATATAGGGTGAGAAATTCAAGTAGATACTCAAATCCTCCTCCCTCTCTCTAAAAGAGGGATGTCTGTCCTCTCAAAGGAAGCTTATTTCAAAAGGGAGATTGTCATTATTCAGAGGGTAAACTGGGTCCCTTATATGCTACTCTAAATGTGGCTGTGTAACTATCTAATTAAGGAAATATGAATCATAGTGACTCAGACAGAAAAATGAGTCATAGTTGAAATGTCCCATGATGACTTGTTCACTTCTCAAATATTCCCATCCATTAACTTTCTTCCTTCAGTTTCCTGACTAATCCATCTCATCTTACTAATCCATTTCATCTGACTAAGCCATTGATCACACATGAACTGTTGAAATGTTGGAATGTTACCATAAATGTGTTTCAGAACATACAGACAAAATGTGAAGAATTGTAAAAAAACAGTCATAAGATTGTGAGAGAATGCTGAATAATGTGTTGTGGTATGTTTGGAACTTATCTTCAAACTGGATAAGTGTTAATTGATTATTATGTAGTATTATGGGTTTGTTATGTCTGAGAATTACTCAAATCAAATCATAATGTGTTTATAGAAAATTCTTAGTAATTTCGTAGAATAAAGCAGAGAACATCAAAGCTCAAAAGTAGCCATGACCATGCACAAAACAAGTTTGGTGTGTGTCAGCGCTAACCAAACACCTTCAAGCTCGTCGTCTTTCGCCTTGTCTTTGGCACTGGCAGCCATTTCAGGTTTCTTGTCCTTGCATTTCCCATCTAATCTCCCTTTTGTTACGCTGACCGTTGGTCGGCGTGTGCGAACTAGGATAGGTCTTCTCAGCGACGACTCGAGTGAGTCTACTGAAGCTGAGCGTGGTCTAGCCTTGACGGAACGTCAAGGATTCCTCCGGCGATCTCGGTAAGACAGCGCTCGTCGAGATGCAGGGCTAGCGGATACGTGCTAAGTCGTATGGGGGCGACTTAGAAGTGCGGTCTCACACAAGGAAGCTGGTAAGCTTAGATGAGCAAGTTCTGGGGATGAACCTAGTAGATTAAAGTAAAGTCTAAGTACAATAATCTGTGTCTACTTATAGGGAAGTACTACAAGTATTCTAGCTCAGTCTGTAATCAATAGTATATCGTAAATCTATGATAGCCAGACATGAGGTTCAGATAAGATACATGAGGCTTAACCTCTGATCAAGCATGCTGCGCCAAGGGCAGCTGCGCATAGGTACAGGAAGCGCCAAGCGCGCTCCGGATCTTCATGAAGCGACATGTGGTATGCATGCGCTGATCTAGGGTGACCATGAGGCGTACAGCCTCCATGGATCAGGTACAAGGCCATCTAGGCCAGGGGCGGGTCATAGCGCCAGGGGCAGGGTCATAGCGGTCCAGACCACTGTCTTTCTGGGCGCGGGCGGCGCACCGCCACGCGGGGAGTCTAGCAGAGCGGGGGCAGGCGTAGGCAGAGCAGGGGCTCTTGTAGGTGTTACAGATGCCTGTAACACCTTTTCCACTTGCTCCTCCACTGCCAGGGCCTCTGCAATCCTTTTGCATGTGCCCGTACTTGCCACAGTTATGGCAGTTTTCTTTTATCCTTTGAGTATGCTGACCCGAATTTGTGTTGTAGGCAGTGTTGTCATTCGAGGATCCAGCCTTCTTTGATTTTGAGGCCCAGCGGTCGTATTCATCAACAATAGTCGACATCAATATATCAGAGGTGAGTTTGACGCTCGATACTTTAGCAGATGCTGTCAGTGCTGATAAATGTGGGTTGTAGGACACTGGTAGCGAGCTCATAATCATAGCCATGAAGCTTTCATTGGAAGGTGCATGTCCCAACGAGGACAGTGGTTCTTTGATCATTCGCATCTTGTCAAAGTGCTCTCTGATGTTTCCTTTTTCAGTGCACTTCTGGTCCTGGAGCTTTCGCAATAGCTCCATGGACACCACACGCAAACACTGCTCAAACAGGCTCAAGAGGTGCATGAATATTTTCTTTGTCATGTCTAAATTTTTGATTTGAATAAACAGTGAGTCAGGGATCATCCCTGCTATCTGCTGTTTTGGTATGGCCTGGCCCATGCACCATTCTTTCAATTCCATTTTATATATGCTAACCTCTTTTACTTTGTCCGGCATAGCTAGTACCACGACACTCCTCTGCTAGGCAGTGTTAGGCAACTGCATGGGTATGGGTAACCCGCTGTAGGGATTCATTTCTGGCTGGGCTTGCAGAGACTGTTTTTACCTTAGTGTTATGTTTGCACTTTTGTAGCTTACATAATCAAGTTACCTTTTCACCAGTTCTACTATGAGTCTGAGTATTCAGCAAGTTTTCATGATATTTCCTCTTCTCTGAGCCTTGAGCCTGGTCCAGAAACCCTTTAGGGTCGAATAGCAGCTAGGTTCTGCAAGACCCAACATTGTTCAGACTCACCATCTGAATTGTTGTACCTTCAACTGGAGCCCACCGCGAGGGTTTCTTGTGTTTCTAGGCTCTTCCAGCTCTCCAATCATCCCCCAAATTCGCCTATTATCCTACCACAGTCATTCCTTATCAGCTTCTCCCATATTTCCAAGTTTTCAGCATCTTGTCCTCCTCCCCAGCGCATTGATAAGCGTTTTTCTCACGCGTTTTTCGAGCGGATCTCTCGCAAACTTAGGGTCGTATTCCCCACGTCCGTCCGGTCATTTTGAGCCCTGGCTCATCGAATTTGGAGCAGTAGTTGTGGAGTTATCGAGTTTTTGGTGTTTTTGAGAAGTTGAGGGGAGATAAGGGTTTTCTGGGTGCTCAAAGGCCTGTGTCTTTTAGCTCTTTTGGCCATTTACCATCCTTCAGTGGCTCTGTCCATTGCCCCAATCTGCTTCTTGATAGGACCAGCCCTTGTTGCCCTGCACCATACCCCTTCCTCCTCCTCCCTCTTGCACCTCCGCACTTTTTCGCACTTTCACCAGCCCATTTTGCCTTGGAACCCCATCGACCCTATACCCGTTTTGAAGCCCTCATTCATGGCTTTCATTCGCGCCCATCGCCGCCCCGATCTGCTCCGTCGTTCGCCCACCATTTGCGTTTTCCGTCGCCCCCCACTTTATCGCACCTTTTCCACCATTTTATCTATATCTCCTCACCCTTTGATCGCGCACCTATCGACCCTATACTCATTCTGACCGCATTCGCCGCCGCTTTCCATCCGTCCGATCCGCTTCCAGATACGTCCGCGCGTTCCTCCGCAATCCGCCATTCTCGTGTTTCCCTCCATTTTCCACCATTTCCTTCATTTCTCACCCAGTTCTCCACCAATCCTAGTCGACCCTATACTCATTTCGAAGCCCTCGTTCGCCTCTTTCTATCCGTCTACTCCCCATCGTCACCCATGCAACCATCATCGCGTTTTTATCACTTTATCGTCGCTGCTCCTCCAGTACTCAAAGCAAAGTCTGGAGATTATCGTTTTATTGCATTGCCTGACCCTCACTCACTGGCGCAGTTTACCTGGCATACGCGTCAAGGAAACAAAAGGTGTTTGAGGACCCCCAGGTTAGTTTTCTTAGTTTAGCTTAGCTTTGGTTTGCATAGGTAGATGACTGGGGACAGTCATGATTCAAAGTTCCCATGAGATGTAGGGATTCATTTCTGGCTGGGCTTGCAGAGACTGTTTTTACCTTAGTGTTATGTTTGCACTTTTGTAGCTTACATAATCAAGTTACCTTTTCACCAGTTCTACTATGAGTCTGAGTATTCAGCAAGTTTTCATGATATTTCCTCTTCTCTGAGCCTTGAGCCTGGTCCAGAAACCCTTTAGGGTCGAATAGCAGCTAGGTTCTGCAAGACCCAACATTGTTCAGACTCACCATCTGAATTGTTGTACCTTCACCGCACGG